GGCTGAAGTATGAGGAGCGCTATCCTGCTGGAGAATTGTCCCTCTCCTGTGGTTTGGGCCGCACAAATGTCTTGACACCTCAGGCTGTTGATGTTCCAGATCTCTCGCACGGCCCCATACTGAATGTAACCCCAAACCATGATTTCTCCTTCACCAAACTTGACTGATTTCTATGAGAATCTTGGCTCCATTTGGGTTCCAGTAGGTCTTCTGCAGTATTTGTGATGATTGAGATGCAGATCAACAGATCCACCTTCTGCCACTTTTCCACATGATCAACTAGAAGTCAAGTTATGTGTCAGGTAGTGTAGTTTATGTGACAGTTAGAGTAATGGATTGTATTTCTGAGAAACAACTGGAATGCTAAAGCAAACTGTAGTACAGTTGAAATGGCGAAACAGCTCTTGTGGAATATCAGGAGAAAAATAAGTGCTAATTTACAGCTGTAATATGTATGCAGAATTAGCCGAACTAGCTAAATCAAACGCAATAAAGCCTGTTTTCTTTATTTGTTCATATATTACATGTATATATATATATATATTATATATAAAGTATATATTATAATATATATATATATATATATATATATATATATATATATATATATATATATATATATATAGATAGATAGATAGATAGATAGATAGATAGATAGATAGATAGATAGATAGATAGATAGATAGATAGATATAATATATATCATTAATATTATTATTATTATTGTTTTTATTATTATTATTATCATCATCAACATCAATTTATCATCATTATTAATATTATTATTTTTATTATTGTTATTATTATTAATTGTAATAATACTGAATGTTATTATCATTGTTATCAATATCATAGCTGGTTCATTCCGCTGTGGCGACACCTGATGGCCAAAAAGAAAATGAATAGATTATTATTATAATGATGATGATTATTATTATTGATATTATTGTTATGTATTGTATTTTATTGTCAATTCAGCACCTGTTCACCTTTTTATTAATTTGTAATACTTTTTTTATATATTTTTTTATTGATGCAAGAACGAAACATACAAAACAATGCCAAAGGTATACAGAAAATGAAAAGTATATAGAAAATCATATAGAGATACAAAACTCAATAAGTAAAACAAAAAAAAAACAGAAAAAGGAAAAAAAATACTAATAAATAAAGCTAGGTCTTGCTAACTCACAAATAATTTAAAAGTGTCAAACAAATATACTGTTTTAACAGCTTTTTTGCTTGTTCTTTCCTTAATGGTATTTATAAAAATATTTAGTTTTCTAAGTACCACTAAAACTAAGATTTCTGATTACTAAAAGTAAATTTACATCGATGGATATGAAACTTGGTAAGTAGTACATGCTCAGCTACAGTAAGCTGGCAGCGCTAGATGTCGCTGATTACTACCATAGACTGCAAAACTGAAGCGACTTTTATTTCAGACGCGCATGCGCAGTGCTTCAGTCAGAATGGCGGCCAGGCTCCTGTTGAGATCCGCGACCCGAGCTGTGGTTTTGCGTCACCGGACTCTTCCAGCACCCGCTGTCGCTCGAGCTCTGGCCTCCGGGGGTACTGCTTAATTACAGACGCTACTCTGAGTGTTTGTTTGCGTTGAAAATACAGCTTAAATTGTTTATGAATGGACCTTTAGCGATGATGCTATAAGGGATACAGCTGCGGTCGGATGCTAGCGATAATTATTTATTTAATTTAATCAAGTTCCCCCTTAATTGTATTTTATTAACGTCTATGTCTAAATCCAACCCTTATGGTAATGTAAATTAATATGATATATTGTTGTACAGTGTCACAAAAAGATACTATATTGACGTAAGTATCCGCAGCTGTATCTCTTCTAGACCTCACCCCATCACCGCAGACTCTGATTCACACTCAGGTGCTCAAATGCTGATTTTAGTGTCGTTTTGTTTCTGCATCTGAAAGTGATTTTCTCAGTGTATCGTTAGATCTGTCTGTAAATTCATCCTGACGACAAACCTAATCCTCTTATTCCCTGTCATCCTCTTCAGTCACCTTGGGATAGATTAGTTCTTGCATGCTAACACTAAATGCAAAAACACATGTTTTAGAGTTTAGTTAAACACAATTTCGGTAACACTTTAGATTATGAAACACTTATGAAACTATGTTTATAAAGTAAATGTTAGTCATTTAAGAGTTTAGATGCAAAAATCTCTAAATGCTATAATAAAAATCTGAAATTTTCCTCTAAAATTGTTATTTTTTTATCAGTCTCCTTTGTGTATAATCAGTATTATCACTTTTATGGCAAAGAATAAGTCCTTTTCCTGGCCTTTAAAGTAAAATATATCAACATAAACAAAAGAGGCAGAGAAATACGTTCATTTTCAATGGGAATTTCAGACGGTGCTTAGAGGTTTTTGCATCTGAACTCTTCATTTATTAACACCCTGTTGAATGTTTGTTGGTTAGTAAATGCATTAAATAACATTAGCTACGTATATTAAAGCGTTACCGAAATGTCTTCTTGTTACTTATATAACATACACACACATTAGCTATGTAGAAAATGCATGCAAGTTTCTATAATTTCAGTTTTTTATAACTATTTACTTATTTATTTTTAATTCATGGTATACCCAAATAATTTACGGCACACATTTCATTCGGCGATCACCTTTTTTTTTATTTAATTGTTATTTTTAAATATTTCCCAAATGATGTTGAACAGATTCAGGAATTTTGCACAGTATTTCTTATCATATTTGTTCTTCCGGAGAAAGTCTGATTTGTTTTATTTAGGCTAGAATAAAAGCAGTTTTAATTTTTTAAAGGCCATTTTAAGGTCAATATTATTATAACATTATATATTATATATAACATTATTAATGCGGTGGTCTTCAGGTATTCCCACAGATGATGAGCAGGCCACCGGTCTGGAGAGGATTGTGATGGAAGCTTCCAAGAAAGGATTGGTAAGTGTCTCCTATATTGTGCTTTCTGCTATAAAAATAAAAGCTCAGATGAGTCAGTGCTGCTTTTCTCCATCAGGATCCATATAACATCTTAAAACCGAAGGAGTACGCCGGCTCCAAACAAGACCCTCACATCGTCCCCTCCATCTCCACCAAGAGGATCGTGGGATGTGTGTGTACGTGATTTCACTTCGTTATACTCAAATTTCAGCTGTTTCTTTTGAAAGATTTTTATTTTTATGCTGAAATATGGCATATAAGATTAGTGAATAGTGCAGCGTTTCCATCCAATGAAGCAAAGAGAACAAAATCATCACTTCCTGATTAAATGGAGGCAAACGTCAGACAGAACAATGCAGTTGAGTGCATTGGGAAAAGCCACTGTGGTGTTTATTCTTCTCTAATAAATGAGCTGAGCCTCAGAAGCCTACAAAACCCTCTTTGTTTACATTGTCACTATGGGGGATTGTGTGTAGAATGTTGAGGAAATAAATAAATAAATTGATGAATTTAATCCATTTTGGAATAAGGCCGTAACATAAACAAATGCGTAACAAGTGAAGCGCGATCTATACTTTCCGGATGCACTGTAAGCTTCCATCCAGAGATGCAAATTTAATTTATGTGCGAAACCAAAATATCGCATCAATTTTTTAATGCGCATTTACAAAATGTATACACTTTTACGTTCAGGGTATTTTTAATCCGATATTCCAAAATGCGAATAAAAACAGGAGGATGGAAACGCCGCTATTGATGAGCAGCGCTGCGTGTAAAAGTTCACGTTTTTTTCGTCATAAACGTACGTGGCTCCGGGAAATACAAGTGTAACGGTTGCATAGTAAAACAATACAATTGCGGGACTTTTCAGGGCACGAATGTTTCAGTGCACTGGAACAGGGGTTTTCAAACTGTGGGTCGCGACCCACTAGTGGGTCGCAAAGTGAACAACGGTGTGTCGCGCAACGTCTCATAGCTGCAGCTATCCGCTTGTTAAGTGGTGACGTGTTTGTGACGTATGTAATACTGTTTCCGGGTCCAAGCCGCCACTTATTTGAGTGGAGAAATCATTCGTTTATGATCACGTTTTATTCATATCACACATTAAAGTTAATTTTATATAAAGTCATAGTGTACACAACAATCTCTGGGCTTGCTGCATAACAAATACCAAAAATTTAACAATTTATAAAAAAATAATCACTTTCTGGCCATCGGATATTAGGCATGGACATATATACTGCGATCGTGATTTTCGAAAGCCTTCAATCGCTTTGTAAACGCTTATTATTACCATTTCATGAGTCTCCCCATTCAGTTGAATAGAGCGCTTGGACCCGGGAGCCGCTTCGCGTGACGTCACACTTAACAAGCGGATATTTACATTGCGGTGAATCAAAACCAGTACGATTGACGGCAATAACTCAAAAACCTCTTACTCTAGAAATATCTATAGTGTGTTTCCTACAAAAAGACAAAGCTGGTGATGTTTCACAGCTGTCTTTTTCTTTTTTTTTTCGCTCGACATTACGACCACTGCTCCGTTTGAGCTCTCGCAATCTGCGTTTAGCCGGGAGAGTTCATGCTGAGCGGAGCTCTCAGTAAGGGACCGTCGGAAAAGTGCTCATTTATTTCGTTTTTTTTTTTTTGCTCTGTCCTTCGTGTTTTATTTTAAGCACTACTATTAAGTTAGTTACTACTAACACTACTATTAAATTAGTTAAACACTAATTTTCTCTTAAATGAGCACAAACAGTTACTAAAGTAGTCGAATGCTTCATTATAGATCTGTGCATTCTTACATTAACACTTCTGTTATCAAACAAAACACAATGAGAGATTCATCTGCTGCTCTTCACTAAATAACTATAGTAACTTTAATCAATATGCAAATACAATTAAACGTGAAGTAGATTTTATAGCTTTATTTAATTTCTGTATAGGCCATTAATTTTAATAGGCTAAACCTTTTATTTTATTGTCAATATTTTCTAATGTTTCCTATGTATTCTATCATTTGAAGCTATGTGTTGTCCAATATTTTTTACAGCCCAACGTTGACAGATTGCTAATCAATAAATAGCTATAGTGCTACCTGTTAGTTTTAACGTCAGCTAATGTTATGGAAAGGCATAGACGTTTTGGAAAATAGTAATGTAAGTACCCCCATCATTCCTTCCTCAAGCAAATGTGTAAATATTAGATCTATTCATCAATAACGTTAAGTGCATTGGCATATGTATCTGACGTTTTCCGAGCTTTTAGTAGTCAATCAAAAAGCGATTTAGTTTCTTATGACTATACACCAGCAGTGGAGTTTACTGTGATGTGACGGGGCTTGATCATAATCAAGGGGCTTGATCAAAGGTTGAGTGTCTTTTTCAACAACAACAAAAAAAAAACGATCACAGTGACAGCCAGCATCCCACAAAAAGCACTTCGAGCTTCATTTTGTGCATATCAAATCGCAAAATCCCTAAAGCCGCACACCATATATTTTTGACTGCTTTGAATGAATTATTTTTTTTAACCCATTTTTCCTCTATTAAAATGTTATGGTGGGTCTTGAGATTGAATTACTTGCCTAGGTGGGTCCCGGGATAAACAAGTTTGGGAATCCCTGCACTGGAAGACGCCTTGATTAGCGAACAAGGGTGCTGATTGAGACGCAGCCAGAATAAAAGCAACATTTCGTAGCGATGCGCTGAAAGCAGGTTGAATGCAGATGCAAAGTGACTGCAGATCAAAGCTTGCTGTCCTCGTTGTGTGTTTATTATTAGCACTGGTCATTGTAATAGACAAGGCTGTTAACCAGTGTGACATTTCTCTGTTCTGTTTGTTTTTTGAAGGTGAAGAAGACAACACTGCGGTGGTTTGGTTTTGGTTGCATCAGGGTGAAGCGCAGCGCTGTCCGTCCTGCGGCGCCTACTATAAACTAGTTCCACATGAGTTACCCCATTAAAACACACACTTTACCACAGTGGAGACGTAAACACTCCTGTACTGACACACACACACACACATACACACACACACACAGTCTGCTTGTTTACAGGCTGAAGAGTAGAAATGCACTTTATGAGGACCCTCAGTAGCTCTTTGCTTTCTGATTAGATGCTATATATATATAGTTGAAGTCAGAATTATTACCCTTTTGATTTTTTATTATTATTTTTTTAATATTTCCCAAATGATGTTTAACAGAGCAAGGAAATTTTCACAGTATGTCTGATAATATTTTTTCTTCTGGAGAAAGTCTTATTTGTTTTATTTCGGCTAGATTAAAAGCAGTTATTAATTTTTTAAAAACCATTTTTGGGACACAATTATTAGGCCCTTTAAGCTAATCTTTCTTTCAATAATCTACAGAACAAACCATCGTTATACAATAACTTGCCTAATTACCCTAACCTGCCTAGTTCACCTTATTAACCTAGTTAAGCCTTTAAATGTCACTTTAAGCTGTGTAGAAGTGTCTTGAAGAATATCTAGTAAAATATTATTTACTGTCATCATGGCAAAGAGAAAATAAATCAGTAATTAGAAATGAGTTATTAAAACTATTATGCTTAGAAATGTGCTGAAACAATCTTCCCTCCATTAAACAAAAATTGGGGGAAAAAATAAACAGGGGCGCTAATAATTCCGACTTCAACTGTATATAAAAAAAAAAAAAAAAAATATATATATATATATATATATATATATATATATATATATATATATATATATATATATGAACAAATAAAGAAAACAGGCTTTATTGCGTTTGATTTAGCTAGTTCGGCTAATTCTGCATACATATTACAGCTGTAAATTAGCACTTATTTTTCTCCTGATATTCCACAAGAGCTGTTTCGCCATTTCAACTGTACTACAGTTTGCTTTAGCATTCCAGTTGTTTCTCAGAAATACAATCCATTACTCTAACTGTCACATAAACTACACTACCTGACACATAACTTGACTTCTAGTTGATCATGTGGAAAAGTGGCAGAAGGTGGATCTGTTGATCTGCATCTCAATCATCACAAATACTGCAGAAGACCTACTGGAACCCAAATGGAGCCAAGATTCTCATAGAAATCAGTCAAGTTTGGTGAAGGAGAAATCATGGTTTGGGGTTACATTCAGTATGGGGCCGTGCGAGAGATCTGGAACATCAACAGCCTGAGGTGTCAAGACATTTGTGCGGCCCAAACCACAGGAGAGGGACAATTCTCCAGCAGGATAGCGCTCCTCATACTTCAGCCTCCACATCAAAGCTCCTAAAGGTCAGGTGCTCCAGGATTGGCCAGCCCAGTCACCAGACATGAACATTATTGAGCATGTCTGGGGTATGATGAAGGAGGAGGTGTTGAAGATGAACACAAAGACTCCCGATGAGCACTGGGAATCCTGAACGCTTTCTTTGCCATTCCACTTTATTAATCAGTGATTTGAGTCATGTCAGAGATGTATGGATGCAGTCCTCCAAGCTCATGATGGAGTCAGACACAATATTCTTTCTGTCTCCACTGCAGCAGGACTTTATATTCTATACTGGACATTATTTCTGTTCAGTGATGAGACTTTAGTCTAAGCAGAGTCAGACCGCACTGTCCTAATCAAATCATTCATAATCAAGACATGATCATATTTTTTATTTTGGTTTAATAAGCCTCATCTAGAGGCCTTCACCTTTCATATAAGCCACTTCTGACACCAAATGATCAACTAGAAGTCCAGTTATTATTTACTGTTCCTAAAACTGGGATAGCCGATAAGACTTTTGTCATTTCGTGTAGAGGTGTTAGAAAAGTTTGCACATTTTGGCAAGGGAGATCTTGTCTTTTGACGTCTTTGTCTGTATACTGCATTCCCTGCTGTGTGGCACTTCCCATTTACTTTAAAAGTCTTGAGATTAACAGTTCAACTTGTTTGACTTTCCTTCAGAATAAATGTTTCATCATGTGTCTTGTCTCATTATCTCGTCTTGTCTCAAATCTTTGCGCTTAACAAACTAAATTAAATATGTGGGCTAATGAATGTGTTCAGTGCAGCGAGTTTACAGTAAAGTAAAGAAGCTGGATGGAGGAGGCTCGTTCTTTATCCTCGCGCTGCAGATGCTCTGTTTAACTGTTTTCTCGCTAGTGAAGCGTTCAGTTTCTACACTTACAAATGCCGCCACGTAAATAGCAAAATCATTTGGAATTGTCTTCCAAATGAAGTGAAAAGTCCCCCAGCATTCATGTATTTAAAAAGCGTGTTTTTAAAATTGCGTATGAATAAACAGTTTGTGAAGTGTATGCATTTTATGTATGTTGTATAGGTGTATGTATGGTGTGTGCATGCATGTTGTGTGTGTGATTGTGTGGATGTATGCATGTACATATAAGCTTTTATCTGAGTATGTATTTGGTGTTTATTGTGCTTTGTCTATACATTTTTTATGTGGTTTATTTTAAAGCTTGTTTGTTGTTTGTGAAGCGCTTTAAGTTGCATGTATGTAGGAAAAAGTGCTATACAAATCAAATGTATTATTATTAAATGCGCCATGGCGCAACGCAACTGACTCATAAAGGGAATAAGAGATGAGACTCTGATTGGTTTAATGCAGGTTATGCTTAAAACACACCCAGAACTCATTAAGAGAATAAGCACAACCCTGTTATACCATGCGCCGGGTGCAGAGCGTATTTATCCATCCTAAAAATAGTCAAAGGGGATTCGAACATGCTCTTAATGCTTTTGCACCATACGCTTTAGACTTTGCATGTAGATCATTAAAACAGAGCGCTTGATGTGATGTCAACATTTATTTTATACAAAAATATTTTAACATTCAGTATACAAAGTGTACATAAGGCATTTTCACATTATTGGTGCATCAGTAAACAAGCTGATCTCATATCAAGTGCCAAAAAGAGGAATACATATGAATATCCCAGTCTCGTCCTGCTAATGACTCATCAAAAAACATACATATAACATTTACCAATTTGTTCTGAACCCTGAATTGTACCGTGTGTAAAGAAAACTGTATTTACTCGATGAATAACTTACAGTTAAGGGGATAGGCTTCATATACAGCTACGTTCAAGAATATACGTAACATTTACTTTGAAACAGCATTTCAGACACTCATCGAAAGTAACTTAATGATACGTTTGATCAGTGCCATATTGTAATATTCGCGCTACATAACCTCATAGGTAACAACACTTCGTTTGGTATTGATCTAAAAACAACAACAAAAACAGGCATAAAGTAAAAAGTAAAAAACAGGCTGAGAGGGCTCAAATCACATGCAAAAAAAATAAAAATAAAATTATATATATATATATATATATATATATATATATATATATATATATATATATATATATATATATATATATATATATATATATATATATATGTATTGCAAACCACATCGGAAATGTGTCGGGAGATCCTGAAAGTGACTGTTTAGAGTGTTGTCGGAGATCTGAGAGGTGAGTTTCGGTTTATTTTACCATTCTGGTGATGCAGTCACTAGACTTAGTATATTTTTAGCTCTAATAATCTGACAATCTAGGCAGTTAACATTTAATGAAACATAATTTTAATGCCATGTTAGTATGAATTACTCACAAACATAAACAACCGGGTTTTAAAAAAGTGAAGCCAAGAATTTTAAGTACATATACAGTTAAGTGCCACAGTTTATAGTCACTTTTTAAAGGACTGCACCCCATCATGAACACCATCAATATCCAGTTTTGAACTTAAGTTCAAGTTTAAGCTATGAACTATATTTCTTTAAAACACCATGGCTATGATAGTGCTGTGGTGAAAACAAAATTGAGAAATCACTTATGAAATTTTCAGAATTCTCTGGAAACTGATTCTGAGCTTCATTTATAACAGCAGGCGACTCTCTAGAGTAGTTTAACAGCAATTGGTGCTCTAGGCTAGTTTATGAACAGCAAACGTTGCTCTAGGCTAGTTTTGTAACAGCAGATGGCACTCTAGACTAGTTTATAAACAGTAGAAGGCACTCTAGACTAGTTTATAAACAGTAGACGGCACTCTAGACTAGTTTATAAACAGCAGAAGGCACTCTAGACTAGTTTATAAACAGTAGATGGCACTCTAGACTAGTTTATAAACAGTAGAAGGCACTCTAGACTAGTTTATAAACAGTAGAAGGCACTCTAGGCTTGTTTATAAACAGCAGATGGCGCTTTAGACTAGTTTATAAACAGCAGAAGGCACTCTAGACTAGTTTATAAACAGTAGACGGCACTCTAGGCTTGTTTATAAACAGCAGATGGCGCTTTAGACTAGTTTGGCACTCTAGACTAGTTTATAAACAGCAGATGGCGCTCTAGACTAGTTTATAAACAGCAGATGGTGCTCTAGACTACTTTATAAACAGCAGATGGCACTCTAGGCTGGTTTATAAACAGCAGATGGCGCTTTAGACTAGTTTATAAACAGCAGGTGACACTAGGGTAGTTTATAAACAGTAGACGGCACTCTAGGCTTGTTTATAAACAGCATTTGGCACTCTAGGCTTGTTTATAAACAGCAGACGGCACTCTAGACTAGTTTATAAACAGCAGGTGGCGCTCTAGGCTAGTTTATAAACAGTAGACGGCACTCTAGGCTTGTTTATAAACAGCAGGTGGCACTCTAGGCTTGTTTATAAACAGCAGGTGGCACTCCAGGCTTGTTTATAAACAGCAGGTAGCGCTCTAGGTTAGTTTATAAACAGCAAAATGCGCTCTAGGCTAGTTTATGAACATCCAATGGTGCTTTAGGCTAGTTTATAAACATCAGACAGCACTCTAGGCTAGGTTTTAAACAGAAGACGGCGCTTTAGACTAGTTTTAAACAGCAGATGGTGCTCTTGGATAGTTTTGAACAGCAGATGGTGATCTAGGATATTTTTAAACAGCAGATGTCACTCTAGACTAATTTTAAAAAGCAGATGGTGCTCTAGGCTAGTTTTAAACAGCAGATGGTGCTCTAGGATAGTTTTAAACAGCAGATGGTGCTCTAGGATAGTTTTAAACAGCAGATGGTGATCTAGGATAGTTTTAAACAGCAGATGGTGCTCTAGGCTAGTTTTAAACAGCGGATGGTGCTCTAGGATAGTTTTGAACAGCAGATGTCACTCTAGACTAGTTTTAAACAGCAGATGGTGCTCTAGGCTAGTTTTAAACAGCAGATGGTGCTCTAGGCTAGTTTTAAACAGCAGATGGTGCTCTAGGCTAGTTTTAAACAAAAGTTGGCACTCTAAGCTAGTTTTTCACAGCAGTTGGCACTCTAGGCTAGTTTCTAACAGTGGACGGTGCTCTAGACTAGTTATTAACACTCAAATTCTGACATGTAAGAGTGCTTGTGCGTTATGAGTTATGTAAGTTGGCTTTTATTTCACGAGGTTCATGTAAACAGCTCACTGTAATTCGCTTAAACCTTTTCTAACTGTATTAATGATTATTTTAGTTTCAAGTGGTATGTGTGAGGAGTTGCATACAAGCACGGCCCAAAAGTAAGTCTCTAAGGTCTGCGAATAGTTCAGTACGGCTGCAGGCTTGGCATGTTATATCCAGCAGGCGCATGCCAGATTGGCATCGGGTAATTGTACGAAGGCAAAGCAGCTTCGTAAGACCCAGGAAAGTGGGTTCCCACTGGCGGGCAATGCATAGAGTGGCTCTGAGCAGGAGGAATTGACAGATGTGTTGGAAAAAGCACGGGCTGCAGAGGTAGAGCTTTTAATTGTTCAACCGTCAGGTCTCCTCGAAGTCTTTCTAAAGCTGGCTGGTAGGGCACAGTGAGTCCGCCATGCGGGTGGAAGAGGTACTGCTGGGTAGGCAGAGGTTTGGGCAACGCCGTCTTTGCCTTCTCCTTCCTGTCCGTAATGCGAATCGGAGAAGATACTGGCATCTTCTTCAAGTAGGCTTCATCAGGTCTCTTTAGGAGGTGCTGGTGGTAGGAGGACATGTGCGGTTTAAAAGAGGGCTGTAGTGATGACATGGGCCTGCAGGGATCCCGGGGCAAGACCTTGGAGAAGCTGGAGGCATGAGGGACCCAGTAGGGTTTGGTGTAGGCTGGCAAGGGCAGCCTATGGGATGCAAGTCTGGATTTATCATCAGAGGTCCATGCTAAAAGACTCCTCTGGGTCTTTTCTGTTGCACCAGCTTGCAGGAACTCTCGATAATGTAAGCGGGGATAGTTGGCGAGTTCTTTGGTGTTGGGGTAACAGCTGAGTGGTTTGCAAACTCCGGTGCTGACAGCTTTGGATGTGGACAGAGCTGGCAAACGAGTCGCTGTTTTGTTTTCAGGCTCTTTAGCTGGAGACTTTTGAGTCGTGACGGCTATGCAGTCCTCGGAGGAGACGGAGTATGGAGAGGGGCTTCGAGACAGGGATCCAGAAGGAGAGGAGACTGGGACAGGAGAGCCATCGGAGGAGTGGCGACCGCGAGTGTTAGACTGGGAAGAGTGGGATATGTGGATAACGGAGGGTCGCTCAAGTTCTCCACCGTCCTCTGAGGCAGGGATAGTGAGGCTAGCCTGAGCCAGACGCTTCTTCTTCTCCAGGGGGGAGATGACTTCGGGCGGGCTGGAAGTCTGGAGAAGCGGGTTCTCCCTGGAGCTCATGCCAAGGACTGGAGCTGTGGATGTGTGCTCGGAGTCAAGGCGATCAGAGGATATCAGCCATGGACTGTGATGAGAACACCTGCCTCTGTCACAGTGGTGATCAGACAACATTTTCTCCTGAAAAGAAAAGTGGGATACTTTAGAACTTACAGTAGTGTAAGAACGGTAGTGTTTAGGGCAGGTGTGGGCGAACTTGATCCTGGAGGGCCAGTGTCCTGCATAGTTTAGCTCCAACCCTATTCAAACAGACCTCCCTATAGAGTTCAAGTGATCTTGAAGACACTGATTAGTTTGTTCAGGTGTGTTTGACTAGTGTTGGAACAAAACTGTGCAGGGACAGCGGCCCTCGAGGATCAAGTTTGCCCATCCCTGGTTTAGGGGATTATATATGGATTCCAATCTTAAAGGTCCAATGTGTCCACTAGTTTTTAAATGTTTGTATCAGTATTCTTTGTTTTTAGGAGATCATTAAGCTAGTACGCATCAAAACAGTGACAAAATCCGTGTTTAGGAGATATTAAAGTAATAGAAACATGTAAAGTTTGTAGGTTGTCTCTTCCACCTAAATGGGTCAACGATTTTATTAATGTCAACTCATACTTTAGTTTCTCATCAAATCTTCTGACCAATCAAATGGTCTTTAGTATCTGACATGCCCCGCCCCTTTCAGATGCTTGACATTTACATCAACCACTCTGACTGGTAGAGCTGTGATAAAAACAAAACGCTATTGGCCGTTTTTTTTAAAGGGGAGGGGCTACTCTATGCCCCGCCCTCTCTTCATGTTTAAGTTAAGATGCGTCAAACATCGAATAAAAATGCACATTTCAAAGCACTTCACGGGACTTTTCAGAGAATACCGAAAGCATTTGTAAGAAAGCCCAAGAAAGGTCATTTTAATTAGGAGGTTAAATCATTACTGAGTGAACAAGACTAAATTTGATATGGTGTGCAAAATTCTGTGGAGAGTATTTAGATTTTTAATATGACTCTATGACAGGGCTGCTATTTTAAAGCCTTTTGTTTGACTTTACATTGGTAGAGATCAAGTTACTTTGTGTTTTACCAATGATTTTACTTCACCCATTAACAATCCTGGAATATTTAGGTTACCATACCATAGAGATGTCCAAACTCAGTCCAGGAGGGCCGGTGTCTTAAAGAGGTTAGCTTCAACTCTAATCAAACATACTTAAACCAGCTAAATAAGCTCTCAGATACTAGAAACTTCCTGGCAGAGCTTCATTCACGTCCATTGACTTTTAGGCACATGAAACACCTCGTTTTGTGGACTGTGTGACAGACATATTTGAGATGATCTTGCTGGCTTTTTGGTCATATTGTTTCCAAAAGACTGCCATTTTATTTTAGATCCCTTAGTCTTAAGACTTGAACATCAGAGCATTATAGCATAGGGCTGGAGAATAATTCAATATATACACATATCGCAATACTTGGTCACACTTTATTTTGATGGTCCGTTTGTTGAATTTAAGTTACACTGCATCTACATGCCAACTAACTCTCATCAGATTATAAGTAGACTGTTAGGGTTAGAGTTAGTGTAAGTTGAACATGTACTTGCAAAGTTTCTTATAGTCAGTTAAATGTCTGATTAGCAGCAGTATCAACAGATATTAAGCAGACAGTCTACTGATACTCAAATGAACCATCAAAATGAAGTGTTTCCCAATATTTAATCCCAATAACCAATTTCTTTCACCCAATTCTGATATTTTGATGTACAGTTGACAATTTTAAATGTGAATTTTTCCCCTGAAATATTTCCCAAGTGCTTTTTAATGTAAAGAAGTCATTTGTAAACAGTTTTAATAACTCATTTCTAATAACTTTCTATAAGATTAAGATTCTATTAAGATTAATAAGATTTCTTTTCTCTTTGCTATGTTGACAGCACATAATACTTGACTAGATATTCTTCAAGATACTAGTATTCAGCTTAAAGTGAGTTTCGTTATTGTCCTCTGACCTCGCTCTCGTCTCTCTCCATCTTCCTCTTCTTCTTGCTCTCTGGTTTGCTCCCCCGGTTCTCAGGGCTCCTCTTGTACTGTTTGCGAGGTTTGGACGGTGGCAGTGGTTTGTCCTCTTCTCCTCTCAGCTGCCGCTCAAAGGGCAAAACCAACCTGCAAACACAAATGAGTTTTAAAGTTGGAGACGAAACAACCCAGGCGATGCAGAGGCTCTGAAATGTGTGTAATATAATGTTCTTGAAATCAATAAATGTTTTCATTTAACTCTTTCCCTGGACCAAAATAAAGAAGCTTTATTTTTATGATTTGAAACATTGTAGGCCACCTAATATAGTAAATATATTATCTATCTATCTATCTATCTATCTATCTATCTATCTATCTATCTATCTATCTATCTATCTATCTATCTATCTATCTATATATATATATATATATATATATATATATATATGTGTGTGTTTAATAACAAAATTGTCTGCAAATTTCTGCCAATTACCACCACAAAATCAGTCACATTTATCACAAAAAAAAAAATTCACAAAAAAAACATAATCGTGAAAAACTAGAGGATCTGCTGAATGAGCTCTGCAATGCTGCAGTCCACCTCCAGAAAAGTGACAGCATGAAAACGGCCCACATTGTTACTACATGTTATTAAAGTCCACATGAAATCTTAATGTTTGTTGTTTTGGTGATTTGTTTACCTTTCATAGTGTCTGCGTGTGCAGGTGGCTGCGCTTGTACTGCCTGGACTACCACCCAACTCGTCATACACGTTCTTCCACTGCCTCCTCGCTGTTACCTGTGAGCGAACACCATGTAATTATAGACCCCCAATGGAAAACTGCAGCAGTCGGGTTTCCAAAAGCATGTCAATTAGCAAGCGCAAGTTATTATCATCAGCTCAAGAGGTTTGTTATTTCAGATATAGACGCGCGGCGAGCGCAAGTAATCTCTCGCTGTGTATTTCAAACATGGCGGGTCCTTTGTTTACATTCTAGCTTGTTGCCTAAGCGAATGACATATCTCTGTAAACCTATAGCGTTCAGCTGCACGTCTAGCTCCGCCTTTTGGTACCCTTTCTTGTGTTTGGGACCCTTTCGAAAGGGTGCTGAATAAGTGGTACGGTACGGTTTGGTTCGGTACGCCTTTTAATAGTGGAAACGGCCATAAAAGCATACCAAACCGAACCGTACAGTACCGTACCACTCCGCCATTACTGTAATGTGCTTACACTACAGCTGTTGAATGCTTGATTCTGATTGGCTGATGAGCATTCTAAGCTGTACTGTTTCAGATGAATGCACAGCTAAAGTAGTTCCGGCAAGTTTTGAGTGTGTTACAGCTCTGTATCACTATGCTAAATGAGTTATTTCACAGCTACAACAGTCAAAAATCACATCAAAACACAACTCAAGGCTTTGGAGGAGATGTGGAAGAAACCAATGCAACACACAGGAGCAGATTGAGGACAAAAGCCTGACAAATGTCTGAAATACAACATCTGAACAGTAGCTTTAGCTGTGGGAACCCGAGATTAAGCAGAGTAATTCACTTGAATTGTTGATTAATTAAAAAATAATGCACACTCAAGCTGTAGCAGCCGCATCACTACCTTTTCTTCAAATGATTCCTTATGTATCAGTGTGCTTCAGAGAAAACGTGTGCACAAAAACAGATTCATTCGCCTGTCTGCTAGATGTGACGTTCATAGATCACAAACTTCTGCACTTAATGATGTCAGACCTAAACACCCCAGATTAATATAATAATATCACTCCACTTGTGTTTTTATAAACTAGTTTGAGTTCCTTACCAAGAAAGAAAAGGAAGATATACTGAATAATTGACATCCATAGTAGTTTTTGGTCCTACTATGAACGTCAACGGCACTATATTCTTCAAAATATCTTGTGTTCAAGTTTAGAGTCATTATTAGCGTGGCAATGGTAAACATTGAGGACATTTTAAAGGGCCATGACACCCCCCACTTTCATTTAAAGTCTACTTCAGAATTTTTTCAAAAGATGCTTGATTAATGGGCGTGGAGCTCCACGGGCATAGGGCAGGAGTGGGCGTGGCCAACAGGGGAGAAGGGGAGCAAACAACTGTTGATGTCAGTTAGCTCACAAATTGAGACACAAACCGTGAGGAGACGCATGAGTATATAGTTCACAAAGTTAAAATGCAAAGAAATAAACAGTAATTTAATGCCCTGCTACATTTGTTATTTGTAATTCCATATACACATAACCACAATTTATATCATTATAAAGATAAGTGTGTTCCCTGCTAAAAAATCCAGCTTAAACCAGCCTAGGCTAGTTGGCTGGTTTTAGCTGCTCAACCAGGCTGGTTTTAGAGGGGTTTTGGCCACTTCCAGGCTGGTTTCCAGCCATTTCCAGCCTGGTCTTAGCTGGTCAAGCTGGAAAATGACCAGCTAAATCCAGCTTAAACCAGCTTGACCAGCCTGGATTAAGCTGGACATAGCTTGTTTTGGCTGGACTCCCAGCCTGCCTAGGCTGGTCAAGCTGGTTTTAGCTGGTCATTTTCCAGCCTAACCAGCTAAGACCAGGCTGGAAATGGCTGGAAACCAGCCTGGAAGTGGCCAAAACCCCTCTAAAACCAGCCTGGTCGACCAGCTAAAATCAGCCAACAGGCCTAGACTGGTTTAAGCTGGATTTTTTTAGCAGGGCTCATGTAAACACTATAAATGAGGATTCTCCCTCGATCCTCGGGTCTAAATTATAGATCTTGAATGCAGACTCAGTGTAGCTGGTCTCCTGACCTGTGTATTTTAACCATTAGTCCTGCTGGTAATATAGAGGATTTAGGCAAACACAGCAGCACAGTGATGTGTCTGAATGTGAACGAACACCTGATAAAAGACAGCGTCCGCCATTCTTCAATTCTCGCACTGCTCTCCTGACAAATTGCTTGCAGCACACACACAGCTTTGCTGTATGATCGGCCCTGACAGGATCGCGGGGAAAAAACATCCAACAAACCCCGTGGATCATGGAAACAAACACATACGAGCCTTCATGAACAGCTACTGCGTGCCGTAGGTCCGTGTCTCACAGCTTGCTTGAAACTGGCAGGTCTGCCTTCGGAAAGCATGTGCTCTGATGAATAATTAAGCAGCCGGCTCTTCTCATAGGATAAGAAAACTCCGCTATGAATAATAATGAGAAACCGACGCGTCATCATTGCACTTGCAGTTCTGCGCTACGTCGCCGATTTTGATCCGCCCAAAAAATAACTTTAAACCCGGAAGCTGAAATTAGCTGACAAAAGCTCAAAATTATCCAGTTTCCCCCACAATTAAAGCTGACAGGTGCTAACATTGTTTTAACTGATGCTCAACACACACACATCTGTTAATATAAAAAAAAGTTCTCCAGGGTGTCCTGAACCTTTAACATTGCATTCACCATGCATTTCAAAGCGACCTTTTTATTGTCTTGCGTTTGTTTGAGTGTTTGTATTGCCTGCATTGCATTACCATCAGTCAGATCAGCTCTTGTCATAGTGGAACTTCATGATTAGTCACTGGGTTAGTTTCAGAGGTTGCCTCACATGTGTCGAAGTACATACCCCAAAAAATATTTTCACAGGCTGATAAAAGTTTCAGCTTCACAATACTAATGCCACCATTACCGCCTGACACATTGCTAAATCAGTTAATGACCACGGTACTTTCTTGCTTAATGACAGGTGTCAGTTTGTGTTACTGGAATAAAGTTCGACTGATGCAATAATGGCTATCTTTGTAGTCTCACTTTCCACTTGTAGACCTAATTCGCAAACAAAACACAGCTTTGACCATGTCTAAAATTAAATGCAGACTGACCACACGAACGCTCATTAAAAACACAAACTCTTCAGCACCTCAGGGGGAGTGGAAACTTAAGGGTGAGAGAACAAAGCTTTTGAAGCAGCAGGTTTGGGCAGAAAACGGATGGACCCTCATTCTCATTGTGGTCGTAACGGTCACTGCTGTAAGTATAGTGTGACCTGAAGCCACTATTGTTTCCACTCTGCAAGAGCAAGAGGCAAATGCATGACCTGCTTCTCAACTTCCTCGGGTAGTTGGCATACTTGCACAATAAATCAAGAAAGATAATGCTATCAGCAGCATCAGCGTGAGATGCGGGACTCACACACACACACACACACACACACACACACACAATAGCGGCAGTTGTGAAAGCTCTGTCTGGAGGTTTGTTTTGCGTGAGGATCCTTACCGCATCATATCCTCCAAGTGTCTCTACAGCTTTGTAGATTTTCCACAGGTTGACTGGAAGAAAGAGAGAGAGACGTGTTTATGTTAACACACAGTGTAGATAAGTGGATGCCACTGAAAATGTTGCACCTTTTAAATTAAATATGTCCTGCTTTATCGTCTAATAAGTTTAAAGATCACGTTACCATATATTGGAACACTTCAGTATTAGAAAATGTAGTAGAAATAAAAACAAAGCAGATAATGGTTTTAAATTTAGCCTAAATAAAGTGTTTGTTTGGTGCCAAATTACTGAACATATTTACCTGGTTAAGCCTTTAAATTGTATTTCAAGCTGAATACTACCCAGCAGGCACACATTATAATATGTTAATATTAGGTTAGTTTAGATCATGATGTCAGGTGACCAAAATTCAATGTCTATCCAGCGTCTAGGGACAATGTTATTTTGACGTCTAAGGACGTCTATATGACGTTGATATTTGGTTGTTTTTAGTCAATATTTTGATATTTTAGTTGATTTTAGTGTTGAAAAGTGGCCCAAATCTAACGTCTAGCCAACATCTTAAATCAATGTAATATTGACGTCACATACTGACATTTATTCGTCAGGTATGGCAACTAAAATTCAACATCTGATTGACGTCATAGTGGAAACGTCCACACAACGTCAAGCTGTACCATCCTTGAACGATTGGTTGATATTTGGTTGATTTTAGGTTGGACTTTGGCTAGACGTTGGGTTCTGATGTCAACCTGATTTTCATTTCCAAACACAATGCAACGTCCCAACAACATTGGTGTATAAAGTCAATCTGACGTCACGTTGATGTCCTGTGCCTGCTGGGTAGTAAACTTGCAAACTTAGTAGTAAAATGTTATGTACTGTCTTCATAAAAAAGTCAAAGGAAATGAGTTATTAGAAATGAGTTATTAAAAATATTACATTAAAAAATGTGTTCGCAAACAGCAAATATTTGGAAAAAATATAGTTAATTGAAGAAATGTATATAATCAGGGTTTCTGCAGGTTTCACCAAATTAAATTTAAGACTTTAAGACATTTTTAAAACCATCATGAATGAAATTTTAGAATAATAAAGGGCTAAAAGCTACGGAAATTATCAAATGACCCATATGGAAAAGATTTTTATTTGCTCTATCAAAAACAAATATATAATTTAATATGTTTAAGAACACAATAATAAATTAATAATAAAATGTTTTAATATTTTAGATATTTCTTTGCCAAATATCTTAAATATTGTGCAAAAATGCAAGCTCTACTTGTATCCATACATTTTTTTCCCAACATAAACTTTCTTTAAAATATATATATATTTTTTTACATTTTAGACTTTAAGACCCTGCAGAAACTCTGTTACATAAATGCAATCTCGACTTTTAATACTGCGCTCAGCACATTTGTCATTGAAATAGTGCCATATAGATAGCTGGAAGATCTGTGTAAAAGGCCTGCCACCACAGTTGGAAAAAATCCTAGAGGAAACACTGCACTCACTCTGTTTAAAGCCCAGATGAGGAATTCTCTCTATCGGCGTGTTTCTTTCCTTCATAAAACAGTAGAGATTGGTGATGAAGGTTCGTTCTTCACTCTCTGATTGGTCGCTTCTGGAATTGTCCTCGCTGCTATTGGTGGACGTTAGGCTCTCCATCTCCCCATTGGTCTAATGAAAAAAAAAACATTCATGCTTGAAATTAAAATAAAGTTTTTTTTAGATGTTAGCATCAGTATGTTAATTTTAATGATATATATCTATAAGCTAGCGTGATACAAAACAGTGTTTAGAAGATATAAACCTGATATAAACATGTAAAGAATGTTTAAAAATATCATTAATTTTTCTTCGGCTTTATTTCAGGGGTTGTCACAGCGGAATGAACCACCAACTATTATTATATATTATGTTATTATTGTAATAATATAATTATTATCATTATATTATGCAGTGGATGCAATTTGAGCTGCAACCCATTACTGGGAAACCCCCGCACACACTCATTCACACACACACACACACACACACACACACACACACACACACACACACATACACTTCAGCCAATTTAGTTCGTCAATTCCCCTATAGCGCATGTGTTTAGACTGTGTGGGAAACCGGAGCAGCCGGAGGAAACCCACGCCAACACGAGGAGAACATGCAAACTTCATGCAGAAATGAAAACTAACCCAGCTGGGACTCGAACGAGCAACCTTCTTGATGTGAGGCAACAGTGCTAACCACTGAGCCACCGTGCAAAGAATATACTCAAGCATATTAAGAAGAATCATTTGATGACATATAAAAAGACTTTAAGCAGTTTGGGCCCAAAATACTAACATTAAATCTTTATACTTTGCCACTTTCCTTCAAAAATGTGATTTTATATAATTTATAAATGCAAGTTTTTCATCATTTTAAATATGATGACATACAGTTGAAGTCAGAATTATTAGCCCCCCCTGAATTATTATCCCCTTTGTTTATTTTTCCCTATCTTCCGTTTAACGGAGAGATTTTTTCAACATATTTATAAACATAATAGTTTTAATAGCTCATCTCTAATAACTGATTTATTTTATCTTTGCCATGATACCAGTAAATAATATTAGACTAGATATTCTTCAAGACACTTCTATACAGCTTAAAGTGACATTTAAAGGCTTAACTAGGTTAATTAAGCAGGTTAGGGTTATTAGGCAAGTTGTTGTATAACAATGGTTTGTTGTGTAGACTTTCGAAAAAATATATAGCTGAAAGGGGCAAATAATTTTGATCGTAATATGGTGTTTAAAAAATAAAAACTGCTTTTATTCTAGCCGAAAAAAAACAACAAATAAGACTTTCTCCAGAAGAAAAAATATTATCAGACATACTGCGAAAATGTCCTGGCTCTGTTGAACATCATTAGGGGAAATATTGAAAAAATAATAATAATAATACAGAGGGGAGCTAATATTTCAGACTTCAACTGTAAGTACAGGTCACAATGAGTATGGAGTTTAATTTTTACATGAATACATCAACGTCATATTGAATGATAATACATCACCCGTATTTGCATTTCACTATAAATGTGACCTGCGTGTCACACTTTTTTGAGATTCACCACTGTAACGGAATTTTCTGAATTCATTCATCCACCCAGTTCAGAAGTTCCCAACACAAGACTTCAATAAACAATAAATGTACAGTATGCGTGTGCACTGTACATGATATAGGCAATATATGAACACATGTGGGTGCGTTTGTGTCATTTACAGGAAGCAGCGTAACTGCTCTTCGAACACCCTCCGGATTTCACTTTCACACAAATAGCCTGATAAATCTTCTCACTGATTCATTTTCTAAAGCCTCGCGCAGAATCGCAGGTGATATCGTTTTTTTTTTTTCGTGCAGCTCAGTCATATTCGGAGTGTGAGACTGAAAACACAACAGCTTTGGCTTTCACCACCACTTTCAATAAGTAACCAGACATCCTGTTTGAAGGGAAAGCGAACCGCCGGTGGGGTTTTTACTGCACCAGAGCTTTACTCCACTCACATCTGCAAAACTTGAGAAACTCTGCAACACACGGAGGCGGCAGTTTGCCATCTACAGATTTTATGAGCAATTTTGTAGCCTTCGTGATCTATGATAGTGAAGTGGGATTAAATAAGGTTTAAAGAGCACCTCTTGTGCCCCTTTTTACAAGATGTCAAATAAGTCTCTGATTTCCCGAGAGTGTGTGGTTTCAGCTCAAAATACCGCACAAATATTATTTATATCTCTTTAAAACGGACTCTTTAAGCCTTTGATCCTAATTGTGGCTTTTTGTTGACTGTCGCTTTAAATTCAAATGAGATTGTGCTCTTTTCAAAAGAGGGCGGAGCTACGACTACCTGTGTGTCATCATAGTGGCAGATTTAAAACAGGACAAATGTTCTATGCTAATGAGGGAGAGATGGTCGCTAGTGGCACATGACACATACAAAAAGGAGAATATCAATCAAAGTGTTTCTGCAGACTGTTTTGATCCAGTGTAATAATAAAAAACAGAATTAATTAATTTTTACCATTAGAAGTTGGATATATTCACACATTGTTGACACACAACTGTGTTTAAACCCCTTATAAAAGTGATTTTTGCATAATAGGTGCCCTTCAACAAAGATAAATCTCAGAATAAAATGGACCTTTGGTAGAACAAAAGGTATTTATTTATACTTCATGTAATATTATTATTAGTAGTAGTAGTAATAATTCCTTACATTTATATAGCGCTTTTCTGGACACTTAAAGCACTTTAAACATTGGGAGGAATCTCCTCATCCACCCCCAGTAGTAAGTAGTAAGTATAATAACTTGTCCTTGTAAGTGTATTACTTGAACGCTAATACATACTAAATCAGGGGTCACCAACATGCTGAGGATCACGTGTTGCCCGCAGGCCTGTTCTAAAAATAGCTCACCATAGCGTCACTTACCAGTAAGCTTCATCTAATATAGAAGTAATTTTAAAAATGTTAATATTTGCAGAGATATATAAAAATAAAATGTTGCACATTGATACATTAAATACAGGGTATTTCCTACCCTGTTAAATCATTGTTGAAATTTGTTATTTGAGAAGTGTTTATCAAACTGGTAGCCCTCCACATTGATCGGTACCCAAGAAGTAGCTCTCAGTTTCATAAAGGTTGGTGACCCCTGTACTAAATGATCCAACGTTTTAGTACAGTATTAAAACTATGGAATTATTCCCCAGGATCTGGTGTGAATTCAGATTTAAGTCCCCTCCAGGATAGAAAAACAAACACACACACAGCTAGACATACATGTTTGTTGAGTTCTGTCATCTGTATACAGTATATACATTATATACAGTACACTGAGCACTGCTGTTTAGCTGTTCGGGTCAATTTGGGGTCAAATGTATTTCGATTTTCATTACTTGTACTTTTGAAGTATATAAAACATTTTGATGAGTTGTGCGGCACGGTGACTGAGTGACTGTCGCCTCACAGCAGTTTGCATGTTCTCCCCGTGTTGGCGTTGGTTTTCTCTGAGTGCTCCGATTTCCCCCACAGTCCAAACACATGCGCTTTAGGGGAATTGATGAACTAAATTGGCCGTAGTGTATGAGTGTGTGTGTAAATGAGTGTGTATGGGTGTTTCCCATTACTGGAAGAGCATCTGCTGCTTAAAACCCCCGATAAATGAGGGACTAAGCCGAAGGAAAATAAATGAATGAATCTCGATGAATTAGCATTTAATCAGATAGTGTTATGCTAGCCAATTTGAACATGAGGTCAAATCAAACCAAAACTCTTTAACTAACAGATCTCTCTCCAAACTTTTAATAAAACTCGAGGGCTCTATAAACATCAACCCACATCATTTGAGCCATCATCCAATCCAATCATTTAGCAAACACTGCTAACAACAGGTTAGCATAGAAGACCAACACCTTATGTATCTTGTAGAAATTCTTGCCTAAAAAGGAAAGAACAACCCACGTTGAAAGAAGGAAGTGAACGTTATCTACAACAACAAAAACTGCATATTCACCCTGTGTGGCAAAGTGCTGAAGGCTAATCAGAAGTGGAACTGCTAGATGCTAACAAGCAAACAGGACAATGACCCACAGTACAGTACAGCCAGGCCACAAGTGAGAAACGAAAGAGTGGAGGCATGCAGAAATGAACACCAGCCGTCAGTATCGCCCACTCACAAACAATACACATGACTTTAAGGAATTGGAAAAATAAGTTCAAGTAAGCACATTACTTAGAGAATGCATTGGTGAATTGACCAATTCTACAGGCCATAGGCTGACAAAGAGGATGTTATAATTTTCCTCAAATTCATTATTCTTGGTTGGCCAGCTATATTTGATTTCTTTATAGGGAAATTAGTTTTTAAGGGTGCAGGAATCAAATTTCTCCAAGAGATGTTGATATCTGAAAGTATTAAAACAAACACGCCTATAACCCATTAAAGACCACAGCTTTTTTTAGTATCTCTGCAACTAAATTTAAGCCGATGTAGATTCATCATAGCCAAGACAAAATTAATTAGTTATTAAAACTATTGTTTAAAATAAAGGGGAAATGAAGCACTCAGTCAAGTTTATTATTTTGAATATTGATTTCCACTTTAATTTAAATATATATAAAACTAACTCAATTTATGTAACCATATAGCAGAAAACGACATGTTTTATTATAGCTTTTAAACCTAAGGCACTGCCATCTTGGAATATCGCTGTGTCTGACGTCACAGGGTTGGTTCCATTCCCTCAGCTGAACAGATACAGTGGAAGTAAAGGACTGAACATCGAGACTGTTTTAACCTAATGTGTGAAGTTGTGGACGTGGAGCTGCTGCAAATACAAGCATCAGATGTGTGTCTGCCAATCAGCCATCACTATAGACTGACGTTTCTCTGGGAGAAATCTCGAATCAGACGTGTGCTTGTACCACAGTTTGGTGGTTAACAAACACACTGGAATCTCAACCAATACAAAGAAATACATCCACATAAACCTGGGCTATTAAATGAACCAAGTGCACTTGATAACAAAAGTTGGTTGCACTTTATTTTGATGGTCCGCTTGTTGAATTTAAGTTGCATTGCAACTAATTCTCATTAGATTACAAGTAGACTATTAGGTTGGGGTTGGGGTT